CCACTAGATGAAAACATAGGACAATCTAATACTTTGTACAGAAGTACAGTTATCAGAACACCCATAGTTTAAAAGTTGACGTATTCTACTGGTAAACTTGTCATTCTGTGCGAGAAATAAATATTCCAAACATACTCTGGGACAGTTGTGGGATGCGATAGATCCCAAATTAATACAACCCCTCGCATCAAAAAACCTTTTAAAAGCAATGAGGCTGATGCAACAGATCAGACGTTTAGCGTAAAATGTCAATAAACTATTAGGCTATTTCTTCACATTATAAGCGCAGAAATGTGCACACGACAGTAGGCTATAAGCATGAACGTTCCAAAATGCAATCAATAGCGGGAAAACACCATTCTCAAAAGTGACCACAAATGTGATTACGCATGTCATGCTATATTATAAAGGTGAATTTCTATGGTGAAACTTATCTTCCCCAAACTTGAAACTCACGCGCCGCCTATGTATGCCAGTTACACCGGTTGTAAAGCGGATTAATGTGCTTAATTTTAAGAAGTTATTTGGCCACTTTAGTTGTGATACAAACCTTATCAACATATAAGGTCTAGGTAGCCTAGCCAGCATAGTGGCACACCTCATATGGCAGTAGCAGATGGCTGGCTTCCCTGAATTCTTCCATGGTCTGTCGTCATCCACAACACCCTCTTACAGTTACTACCTTCTTCTCTGTGTCCAACAGCCACTACTTCTAGCAGTACTTCCCTACACCATTCCAAAGACATGCCCTTCCTAAACCAGACTAGATAGTGTTGAGACTCTCTCTCTCTCTCTCTCTCTCTATCTCTCTCTCTCTCTCTCTCTCTCTCTCTCTCTCATCTCTCTCTCTCTCTCTCTCTCTCTCCATCTCTCTCTCTCTCTCTCTCTCTCTCTCTCTCTCTCTCTCTCTCTCTCTCTATGTCACTAGGTCATGCTGGCATTAAGAAGACATCCTTTCCCAACAGTATCATATGTTGGCATTGGGAAATGACACAAAATGAACACCTCATTAACAGACCTAGAGCTCTTTGTTTTACATTGTGTTTCACTTTGAAGACACTATCTATGAGTGGTGAGGGCCCCTAGTAAAGTAGACAGTCGACATGGGCTATAATCTATAGTGTAAGTGATGCCTTCTCAACATGGATCCTCATGTTTACCTCTCTCTGTCACTCAAATACTGTTGCATGATTCCACTTTTGAACATCATGTGCTCATATATAGTAATATCACCTTCTTTCACCAAAGAATGCAGTTCTCCAAGCTTGTTGAAACTCTCCCAAAAGGTAGGTCTTTATTTTGAGCCCTGACCCTTACAGAAAGATGATAATGTTGTTGCTATAGATTCTTAATTCCCATCCTCATTCAGACTAAATGTAACATTGGTAACAATATAAAGTCATTAAAGCATATTTGATTACTATTCTAGTAGTCTTGCATAAGCAATGTGTGGAGTTCCCATAGTTTAATCCAGTAAGAGACTTTCTGTAGTGCCTCGTTCAGCCCTTATGCTGCCTGTCACCCAGTCATTTATGATGCAGTTCTATTACTTTATTTAGCCTACTCAATATCTTATAGGCCTATCATGCAAACATGTTATGCAAACAAATACTTCTTACTCATTACGATTGTACAAATACACAACTTTCAAACAATCATTCACTGGTGTGTCATCACTATAATTTCCATTTAGACATTTCATCCATCGCTATTGCCCACCAGTGCCATTCTATACCATCGAAGTACAGTTCTAGCTCATTGTACATACCATTTGTAGGCCAAATGGACTTAATCCACAATGACTCTGACGATTTTGGATCTGTACAGGACTGAGGACAAAACATCTCTCCCGGTCTTCTCCAACCAGCTCTCCGGACTTCCGAAGACAAGGTCGCATGCACCCTATATAGCGTTCTTGTCTTCCTCCACAACCACCGATCTGAGATCCAGGGCTGTTGCCTCGCGGATTTGGTAGTCCGTCCACCACAGCCTTTAGCGGGTACACGACTGTCAGAATTAGAGGCTATTTTCCTAGCTTAAAGACTAGAACTAGCTAGCTGGTAAAATGAGGCTTTTCCCCAAACCCATTGGCAAGACCGTCAATACATCTTGAAATGCTTCAAGTTGCTCCTATCTTAATTCCTTAATTGGCTGTTACTATGTGGCAGTGTCATCTCTCTATCTCCTTTTCAGAAAGTTCCATCACTGAGTTATTCTCCCCACAGCTTGGCATGTTTACCTCTCTAGGGGGAGTAGCAAATTTATGAGGAAATTGTGTGCCTATGAGAAGCAATCAAAATGTTTTCTCAAATTCTGAGCAAATATTGCATTTTACATGGCCTCCTGCCCAGACCAAGTGGGTCACAGCTCTTCGCTGTGTAGTCACGTGGGTCGCGTCAGCCAGGCTATCACATCTGTGCATTCCAGCTTGACTATTTAACTCAAGCCCCCTTAAGTCGCTGCCTTCCCACTCCCTCACAGTGACATTTATGGTGCCAACCTCTACAACCTCTACCTACAGGCCTGCCGCCACGTCCGGGTCCAGATGCAGCTTAAAGGGATCGGAGGAGGGGAGCCCCAGAGCCAACCCCTGGAGGATACCCACAAAATGACCTGTGCCAAGATGGGAGGGGTGTCAGGGGTTTATTAGGGGCACATGCACAAGTATAGTGAAATGCTTAGCGACTAAAATTCTTCTTAGTCTACTTGAAACAGCATTAGGGGTGGTTTGATAGGCCAGTGTTTTCCAGGCTTGTTACAGTTTCAGAGTAACATCTTCATGCAAGTGACTAGTTTAAGTCAAGGAATGTTCGTTGATGGTCTCCACAATTGATGCAAGACTAGTTGTTCAATTTACCATTAACTAAACTAGTCCTACATATCCGGTTGTGTTCAATTAAGGGTTGGAGCCTTACCAGAGCCAATAGTACAGTGAGGGAAAAAAGTATTTGATCCCCTGCTGGTTTTGTGTTTGCCCACTGACAAAGACATGATCAGTCTATATTTTTAATGGTACGTTTATTTGAACAGTGAGAGACAGAATAACAACAACAAAATCCAGAAAAACGCATGTCAAAAATGTTATAAATTGATTTGCATTTTAGGGAAATAAGTATTTGACCCCCTCTCAATCAGAAAGATTTCTGGCTCCCAGGTGTCTTTTATACAGGTAACGAGCTGAGATTAGGAGCACACTCTTAAAGGGAGTGCTCCTAATCTCAGCTTGTTACCTGTATAAAAGACACCTGTCCACAGAAGCAATCAATCAATGAGATTCCAAACTCTCCACCATGGCCAAGACCAAAGAGCTCGCCAAGGATGTCAGGGACAAGATTGTAGACCTACACAAGGCTGGAATGGGCTACAAGACCATCGCCAAGCAGCTTGGTGAGAAGGTGACAACAGTTGGTGCGATTATTCGCAAATGGAAGAAACACAAAATAACTGTCAATCTCCCTCGGCCTGGGACTCCATGCAAGATCTCACCTCGTGGAGTTGCAATGATCATGAGAATGGTGAGGAATCAGCCCAGAACTACACGGGAGGATCTTGTCAATGATCTCAAGGCAGCTTGGACCATAGTCACCAAGAAAACAATTGGTAACACACTACGCCGTAAAGGACTGAAACCTTGCAGCGCCCGCAAGGTCCCCCTGCTCAAGAAAGCACATATACAGGCCCGTCTGAAGTTTGCCAATGAACATCTGAATGATTCAGAGGAGAACTGGGTGAAAGTGTTGTGGTCAGATGAGACCAAAATGGAGCTCTTTGGCATAAACTCAACTCGCTGTGTTTGGAGGAGGAGGAATGCTGCCTATGACCCCAAGAACACCATCCCCACCGTCAAACATGGAGGTGGAAACATTATGCTTTGGGGGTGTTTTTCTGCTAAGGGGACAGGACAACTTCACCGCATCAAAGGGACGATGGACGGGACCATGTACCGTCAAATCTTGGGTGAGAACCTCCTTCCCTCAGCCAGGGCATTGAAAATGGGTCGTGGATGGGGATTCCAGCATGACAATGACCCAAAACACTCAGCCAAGGCAACAAAGGAGTGGCTCAAGAAGAAGCACATTAAGGTCCTGGAGTGGCCTAGCCAGTCTCCAGACCTTAATCCCATAGAAAATCTGTGGAGGGAGCTGAAGGTTCGAGTTGCCAAACGTCAGCCTCGAAACCTTAATGACTTGGAGAAGATCTGCAAAGAGGAGTGGAACAAAATCCCTCCTGAGATGTGTGCAAACCTGGTGGCCAACTACAAGAAACATCTGACCTCTGTGTTTGCCAACAAGGGTTTTGCCACCAAGTACTAAGTCATGTTTTGCAGAGGGGTCAAATACTTATTTCCCTCATTAAAATGCAAATCAATTTATAACATTTTTGACATGCATTTTTCTGGATTTTTGTTGTTGTTATTCTGTCTCTCACTGTTCAAATAAACCTACCATTAAAATTATAGACTGCTCATGTCTTTGTCAGTGGGCAAATGTACAAAATCAGCAGGGGATCAAATACTTTTTTTCCCTCACTGTATGTGAAGACATGCTATTGGGGGATGTGAGCATTTTATGATGTTTTCTGAATTATTATTTATATTTTTATGGAAATTGTTCTTGAATGTTTTATGCAGGGATGTCAACATTTGTACAATTTGGCCAATGGTTTTAAGGGAAAGAAGTGTGAGACTGTGGAATTGTCATAATGCAACACTGTATTTGACAAACTGGAGGACAATAATAAACAAAAAAGGTAAAAGATCAAACCAGTCATTTTGCCACATGCAATAGACCACAGGTGGCCAGAGGGTACTTTTACCACATTTTGTTATTAAATACTGGTTATGTTTAAACAATAGTAGTATGTTAAGTACGATGAGGACAGGTACGTGTGACTACTGGCAGCCAAGTTTAAAACTACAGTTAAAGACCCACTCCAGTCTCCCTAGAACCTCAATTATCTCAGTAGGTGGTTTAGGTGTCCTCTGACAAGGCACAAAGGGGGGGGGGGGGGTGTAGGCCTTTCCCTTTTGTCCTCAATTTCTCCTTTATTGTTCCCTCAAGCAAGGGGGAAGGCCGATGACATCAGGGTGCACCATCAGACCAACTCCTTGAATTGGCAAACCCTTGAATTTCGCAATTGTGTAAAAAAAGGTGTGTACTGTATTTATAGTTGAAATATTGTTTTTCAATGGGAAAAGTTAAAAAAACAGCTGGAGTGGGACTTGTGAAAGTAAAACATTTGAACACTTTTCAGTGGCAATCAATCATCACTACAGTACTTGTATCTATTCCATCCCCACCACCGCACAATATAGTATGCACACACATCCCCAACCCCTAGCCTCTACCCCAAGACACTTCTTGACAGCACCTTTAGATGTAGCAGTCTAAAACTAGCAGGCTTTGTGGCTTAGCATCTACAAGGGGAAGTGTCAAGGGATAGTGTGTAGGCAACGTTGATTCCAGACAATTATAGTTTATCTATAGTTTAATTATATAATTATCAGCCCCATCAGCACAACAACCTCTCGCCCACCTTGCCCATCAATTCTCTCAACAACATGATTTCCTGTCCGTGGAATCGGAGCCATGGATTGGATGGGAGTTTGGGAAGTGTTGGGAGGCCTGTGAGTGTTCGTCTGTGATGGTCAGGCCGTTCCTAACCATCAGCTCCCGGGCCATCAGCATAAAGGCTGCCTCCACATTCTGGGCCTCCTTGGCCGAGGTTTCCATGGCGGCCAGCGCACCCTTCCCCTCAGCCAGAGTACAGGCATCCTCAAACAGCACCTGTCTCTCCGACTGCAGGTCCGATTTGTTCCCTAGGAGAGAAGAGCAGAGAAAGTTAGAGAAGGAAATTGTTATTTCTATTTGAGTTTATTTTGATAAATAGATGAATGTTAATTGTTTGGAAGAATCTATTTCCAAGTTCAAGATAAGTGTCAGACAATTTTCTCTCACCCACCAGTGACAATGAGCACCATATCTGTTATGTCATTATTACAACTGTTCAGTAGGCTTTATAACAGAGTTTGACTAAAGCCACGTGTTGCCTGTGTCTCTCCCACCCACCAATGAGGATGAGAACAACGCTAGCAGCCCCATACTGCTCCACTTCCTGGATCCAGTGTGTCACAGATTCAAAGGTTGGGCGCCGTGTGATGTCGTAGGCCACTATGGCGCCGTGGGCGCTGCGGTAATAACTCTGGGTGATTGTGCGGAAACGCTCCTGTCCAGCCGTGTCCCACACCTGCATCTGAGGAGACAAGAAACGACACACACTTTAGCTGGAGTACACACACTACACCAATTTATTTCACACACACTATCAGGCCAGGATAACAAAGGGTCAGTTGAAAAACCATCTGTAGCCTTTTCACCAACCCTTTGGTAGAACAAGATAAGTGTAAACATGGAGAACGTTCCCCTAAGCACATTGAAAGGCTAGCTGGAGACATCACCATATGTTTACAACTATCCAGTCGCTAAAGGGGAAGGGACTGTGGGTTGGACGTCTATGCATCCCTGTGGAGGAGAAACCGGTACAGGGAGGTTTTCATTTATTACATTTATGGATGAGACGTTTTTAAGGGTGGTCCAAGAACATCCAACCCCTCCACAGACAAACATGTACCTAGGAAAACACACTTATACTGTCCATACAATTATACAGTCACTTGATACACACCCAGAAAACACACACATTCACAGCGGGGCAATCCAAAGTTAGAGTAAGACCACTCCTGTTCCTTAAAACAAACAAAGAAGTGCTGAAGATTCTTTGCTTTTGAGGACAGCAGAGGCAGAAGGATTTACACTATGTAAAGACACAATTGAGCTAGCTAGGCCTATTGACAATAATTAAATACCGGAAAGAACAAAGACAAAATGTCCTGTACTTAACACTGGTTATCATAGAAACATTTGATAAACAATCATCCCTGAAATGTACACATATTTCCTTACCTTGACCTTCCTGCCATCAATGTCCATGGTTCGGACGGTGAAGTCCACGCCGATAGTGTTCTGTTGTTTCTCCATGAAGATACCAGACTTAAAGCTCTGGACTACGCAGGTCTTCCCCACGTCTGAGTCTCCCACCAGGATGATCTTAAAGAGGAAGTCGAAGGAGTCGTCCTGCTCCGGCCCAGAGGACTGCATGGTGAGGGGTCGACACAGGGAGAGTCTGAGCGACAACACTATACTAGGGCCAGGCTGAGACGCCCTGCAGCAGCGATATAACTGGTTCTCTACTGTGTAAGTTGTTAGCTGCGTCAATAACAGTTGAAACTGTTGACAGAGATGGTCACATCCTAGTCAGAAACACGGAGAGAACTCTTCCTCATGAGGAGCTAAAGAAGTACATGACCATTTCCTACTAAAACCGTGTCCCTTCTATGCAGATTGTCTTGGGAAAGGTCAGGAATTTAATTTTAAAAAACGGGTTGCTATGCAGAAAAGAAATTGCTGCCCAAAATGAGAGTATCACAGCTGGTTAGTCCCCTGTTTATAACCAGAGCCTGTTTCTTCTTCATTATTTTTCCTTGTCAGAAGATGTATTGAAGATAAGGCTTTAATAGGCTATATCCTCTACCTCTACAGGTGTTCTCTACTCAGCCCCTCTTCAGGTATTTTCTCAGGTGTCCATCTCCCAAAGTGAGCTCATTACACACACAAAAACGTCCTCCAACAGATTACATCACAGTAGGAACAATACCACAATTAAAGGTCTTCTGGAAGGCCACGTTTCAAGTCCTATTTACCCTTTTTGATAGGTTGTATATATCAAATCACTCCCATTCTTTGTCCTCAAACCTCCAACTGTTTCCCTGCACAGGTAGTGTACTTATGCCCTTTATACCATATTCCTCTCTCTACTCTGTTGTTCTCCCCACTCTCATTCGTTCACAGACAGCTAAGGCACACCCCTTACCTTTCCTGGCAGGTGTGATTTCCAGTTGCCTGCCCACCTGCACCACTGCATCTTGGGAATTGTAGTTTTCTAGGCAAGATCCAGGGTCTGTGAGGACAGGAGGAGGGATCAGTCGCAGCGGTCACATTTAAGACTTGTCTCTAGGTGCTTGCAAGGCTCACTGGGTACACTTCCTTAAGTCAATAGAGGGAGCCACTCCTATAGTTAAGCTGCTCGTGGCGAAATGTAAACACAAGACTTTTGTCTTGACAGGTGGCCTTTGGACCCCAGAGAGCTACATATAAATCCTCAGAAATAAGCACATGAAGACACACAGACGGCTTCCCCTCTCTCACTATTTGCCACCTCCTGACTGCCGTCAACTAACACATTCCAGTGCATTCAAAATCACAGCTAAATATAGAGCAGGCAAAAACACAAGACAACGCTTAAGCATTTCTCAGTAAACATCTTGTTAATGAGGGTTAATTTAATTTACTGTGTAATGAATCCATTTTTACCTCAGGCGCCATACATTGACCTATCAAGGAGATAAAGTGAAGTGAAGAGTCTACTGTTCTGGAAGTCAGAGACCCCCTCTTCTCCCTCTCTTTTTTCATTTCTCTCACTCCACCCACACACTGGTTTGTCGTCATCTCAGCCCACAGAGGCACAAGGCACAGCTGGACACAGAACAATGTGTGTGAGTGTGAGTGGCGCTGTGCACCAGGGCTGGCCTATCTCTGGCCCCAGCCACCATGTTCTTCCTCTGAGTGTGTGGGTGTGTGGTCACATGACGGTTCCACATTAAGCACTGTAGCCTGAGGAATGTTTATCTTTCACCCACTGACACCATATCTCCTGTTATTGACTTATAATCTACAGCTCTCTACTGATGTCATCATGTTATGTTAGCATTTTTTACTGTATCTGAGAAATAGTTGGGCATAATGTCTTTGTCTGCTATCCATTTAGGTTGATAAATCTAAAATGAATAAAAATATCCAGCCCATAGCCATAATATAAATAACCACAACTAAACAGTACAATAAACAGTTTTTATTGACATCCTGAACTATGCAAAAATGTACAAGTCATTAGAAAATTGTTGTCAGTGAAAGTAACAGATTTTTCTATATATTTTTCTTCACATATTCTTTCAGAATTAAGAACCTATACAAATCTGGCATCAATAAAAAAAAAACAGACGCCACCACAACATGTCTTTTAGATAGGAAATACATAAAAACATACAGTCAATGGACTAGTGCAGCTGAGTCTACACAGTACACAGTGCATTCAGAAAGTATTCAGACACCTTCCCCCTTTCCACATTTTGTTACGTTACAGCCTTATTCTAAATTGGATTAAATAAAAATGTTCCTCATCAATCTACACACAATACCCCACTATTACAAAGCGAAAACAGGTTTTTAGACATTTTTGCAAAAAACATAATGAAATACCTTATTTACATATCGGATATTGGCATTTTAACGCTATATTGGTCGATAATTCCACCAATAACTGATATTCAGTAAATAGGATGAAAAAAGGGTATCTCAAGATTATCTGAACGCTTGCTGCCATTCTCATGATGTCACAATGTAAGAAATCAACAACAAAAAATCCTGTTGAAGGTACATTAGGACCAAATTGGTATAAAATCCTTAATCTGTGTAGCATTAAGATCATCAGTGTGCTGAAGTTTCATTTCATTAAACCAGAGATAATCGTCTTCTCAGAATGATCACCTGTGGCTGCTAATCTAACCCTTTTCAATGTGGCAAGGGAGCATGTTTTAGCCTGTTTTGGCAGAGTGGCTGCGTGACCACTCTCTGGACACCTCTTCCCAATAGCTAAACCCCGTACTTTCTGTGCATGTGCTACGGAACGACGCTCAGCTAGTCTCGGAAATCCCATACCTACAGTGCATTCGGAAAGTATTCAGACCTCTTCACTTTTTCCACATTTTGTTACGTTACAGCCTTATTGTAAAACAGATTTTTTTTTAATCCTCATCAATCTACACACAATAACCCATAATGACAGAAATCTTTGCAAATGTATTAAAAATAAATAACATTTACATAAGACCCTTTGCTATGAGACTCGAAATTGAGCTCAGGTGCATCCTGTTTCCATTGATCATCCTAGAGATGTTTCTACAACTTGACTGTGGTAAATTCAATTGATTGGACATGATTTGGAAAGGCACACAACTATATAAGGTCCCACAGTTGACAGTGCATGTCAGAGCAAAAACCAAGCCATGAGGTCGAAGGAATTGTCCATAGAGCTCTGAGACAGGATTGTGTCGAGGCACAGATCTGGGGAAGGGTACCAAAACATTTCTGCAGCATTGAAGGTCCCCAAGAACACAGTGGCCTCCATCATTCTTAAATGGAAGAAGTTTGGAACCACCAAGACTCTTCCTAGAGCTGGCCGCCCGGCCAAACAGAACAAACAGGGGAGAAGGGCCTTGGTCAGGGAGGTGACCAAGAACCTGATGGTCACTCTGACAGTGCTCCAGAGTTCCTCTGTGGAGATGGGAGAACCTTCCAGAAGGACAACCATCTCTGCAGAACTTCACCAATCAGGCCTTTATGGAAGTGGCCAGGCGGAAGCCACTCCTCAATAAAAGGCACGACAGCCAGCTTGGAGTTTGCCAAAAGGCGCTCAGACCATGAGAAACAAGATTCTCTGGTCTGATGAAACCAATATTGAACTCTTTGGCCTGAATGCCAAGCCTCACATCTGGAGGAAATCTGCCACAATCCCTACGGTGAAGCATGGTGGTGGCAGCATCTAGTCAGGATCGAGGGAAATATTAACAGAACAAAGTACAGAGAGATCCTTAATGAAAACCTGCTCCAGAGCGCTCAGGAACTCAGACTGGGTCGACGGTTTACCTTCCAAAAGGACAATGACCCTAAGCACACAGCCAAGACAACGTAGGAGTGGCTTCGGGACAAGTCTCTGAATGTCCTTGAGTGGCCCAGCCAGAGCCCGGACTTGAACCCAATCGAACATCTCTGGAGAGACCTGAAAATAGCTGTGCAGCGACGCTCCCCATCCAACCTGATAGAGCTTGAGAGGATCTGCAGAGAAGAATGGGAGAAACTCCCCAAATACAGTGCCTTGCAAAAGTATTAATCCCCCTTGGCTTTTTTCCTATTTTGTTGCATTACAACCTGTAATTTAAATGGATTTTTATTTGGATTTCATGTAATGGACATACACAAAATAGTCCAAAAGTGAAATGAAAAAAATTACATGTCTAAAAAAATTCTAAAAAATAAATAACGTAAAAGTGGTGTGTGCATATGTATTCACCCCCTTTGCTATGAAACCCCTAAATAAGATCTGGTACAACCAATTAATTTTTTTTTTTTTTTTTTTGTCATTTTAGCAGACGCTCTTATCCAGAGCGACTTACAGTTAGTGAATAAATTATTTTTTTTAACCTTCAGAAGTCACAAAATTAGTTCAATGAAGTCCACCTGTGTGCAATCTGTCACATGATCTCAGTATATATACACACATGTTCTGAAAGGCACCAGAGTTTGCAACACCACTAAGCAAGGGGCACCACCAAGCAAGCAGCACCATGAAGACCAAGGAGCTCTCCAAACAGGTCAGGGACAAAGCTGTGGAGAAGTACAGATCAGGTTTGGGTTATAAAAAAATATCTGAAACTTTTAACATCCCATGGAGCACCATTAAATCCATTATTAAAAAATGGAAAGAATCTGGCACCACAACAAACCTGCCAAGAGAGGGCCGCCCACCAAAACTCACGGACCAGGCAAGGAGGGCATTAATCAGAGAGACAACAAAGAGACCAAAGATAACCCTGAAGGAGCTGCAAAGCTCCACAGCGGAGATTGGAGTATCTGTCCATAGGACCACTTTAAGCCGTACACTCCACAGAGCTGGGCTTTACTGAAGAGTGGCCAGAAAAAAGCCATTGCTTAAAGACAAAAATAAGCAAACACGTTTGGTGTTCACCAAAAAGCATATGGGAGACTCCCCAAACATATGGAAGAAGGTACTCTGGTCAGATGAGACTAAAATTTAGCATTTTGGCCATCAAGGAAAACGCCATGTCTGGCGCAAACCCAACACCTCTCATCACTGCTAGAACACCATCCCCACAGTGAAGCATGGTGGTGGCAGCATCATGCTATGGGGATGTTTTTCCTCAGCAGGGACTGGGAAACTGGTCAGAATTGAAGGAATGATGGATGGCGCTAAATACAGGGAAATTCTTGAGGGATACCTGTTTCAGTCTTGCAGAGATTTGAGACTGGGACGGCGGTTCACCTTCCAGCAGGACAATGACCCTAAGCATACTGCTAAAGCAACACTCAAGTGGTTTAAGGGGAAACATTTAAATGTCTTGGAATGGCCTAGTCAAAGCCCAGACTTCAATCCAATTGAGAATCTGTGGTATGACTTAAAGATTGCTGTACACCAGTGGAACCCATCCAACTTGAAGGAGCTGGAGCAGTTTTGCCTTGAAGAATGGGCAAAGATCCCAGTGGCTAGATGTGCCAAGCTTATAGAGACATACCCCATGAGACTTGCAGCTGTAATTGCTACAAAAGGTGGCTCTACAAAGTATTGACTTTGGGGGGGTGAATAGTTATGCACGCTCAAGTTCTGTTTTTTTGTTTTATTTATTGTTTAAAAATAATTTGCATCTTCAAAGTGGTAGGCATGTTGTGTAAATCAAATGATACAAACCCCCCAAAAATCCATTTTAATTCCAGGTTGTAAGGCAACAAAATAGGAAACATGCCAACGGGGGTGAATACTTTCGCAAGCCACTGTACAGGTGTGCCAAGCTTGTAGCATCATACCCAAGAAGACTTGAGGCTGTAATCGCTGCCGAAGGTGCTTCAACAAAGTACTGAGTAAAGGGTCTGAATACTTATTATGTAAATGTTATATTTCAGTATTTTCTTTTATATAAATTTGCTAAAAAATTAGAAAAACCTATTTTTGCTTTGTGATTATGGGGTATTGTGTTTAGATTGATGAGGGAAAAAAACGATTTAATCAATTTTAGAATAAGACTAACTTAACAAAATGTGGAAAAAGTCAAGGGGTCTGAATACTTTCTGAATGCACTGTATACCAGGGTTCCCCAACTGGCAGCCCGCAGATGATTTTATTATTGTTGGACATAAAAGACTAAAAACATCAGCAAATCAGCTCCAAGTGATTTTAATTTTGGAAATCTGTTTCAAAGTATTCCCACGCATAAAAGAGAGATTATACTGTATGTGATCGAATATAACTGGAAGCAAGTTGGTAGAGCATGGCGCTTGCAACGACAGGGTTGTGGGTTCGTTTCCCATGGGGGGCAAGTATGAAAATAATGTATGCACTCACTAACTGTAAGTCCCTCTGGATATGAGCGTCTGCTAAATGACTAAAATGTAAATGTAAATGTAAATTATTATGTTTTTAGTCAAATGTTATATCTGTTTGGGCTTCTTGCGGTCAGTTTGCAGTCTCCAAATTATTTGTCATTATATTCCGGCCCCCTGACCATCCACTCAAGAAAAAAAGAAAAACGGCCTGCGGCTGAATCTAGTTGATGATCCCTGGTATGTACAGTAGAATAATCACCTCCCCTGTGTCCTCTCACAGTACCTTGAAGCTCCTAAACACTGATCTAAGGTCAGTTTTGTGGTTTCCCCCGAGGTTAGATCTGAGGATAGTACTGTAGATCTGAACCTAGATCTGTGTCCAAGGTGAACCTCTACTGGAGCGGTCATCTCCTCTGCAGGCGAGCTGCTGAGCTTACAGTGTCTCGGAGTCTGAATGGGATGCTGGGGCTGTTCTGGTACTTGGGCTGACTCGGCTGTTTCCTGCGGGAAGTCTTCTTCACTGGTGGTTTCTCTGGTGGCGGAACGTGGATGGGCTTCCATGGGATTGGGTTGTAGAAGCTGGGAGATGGGTACGTTACATTGTCATAGCCACCTGGGAAAAGAAACAAAATACAATGACTTTATAATATCAAAACTTGCTTTAAATATACATGCACGACTGTACAACTACATGTGTGTGACAATAAAAAATAGTATTGTTTAATTTTTTTATTGCCATTTTCCAGAAGGTGAATATGAGATTAAACAACAAGGTGAAGACCGTTATGTTACCTTGTGGGCAGCCGGTTGCATTGGGACTGGGTCGGCTCTTGTCCTGGGCACGAAGCCATTCCTTAAAGTTATCCTCTGCTCTCTGTCTGCGCTCCCTCTCCTGAGCCTCTCTGCTGGCTGCCTCCTCCTGTTACAACACAATTGCCCTCAGCACCTGAACACCTCACAACTAGTTTCCAGCTAAACCAAAGCCGTCATTGTCAGAAACATTGAAACTCATGTTCAAATTGACATTTACAGGAATTTGCCACATGAACTTGCTCACATGAACTTCTATTCAGAGTAACAAACTGCTGTATAATTCAATTACATGGTTTAGTTGTGTGTTGTTGCTGATTAGTTAGCAATAAGAGAAGAGAGAGTGCACAGGAATATTTAGCAAATGGCTAGTATGTCGATCTCTTCCAACTGCACTCTAATGTAGAGAGAAAAGCAACAAAACATTTCAGAGATTTTAATTTGTTTACTGTCCTGAATAAATCTCGGAATAATTCCACAAGCCTACTGTTAAAGAACCTACCTTCGCTCTCCTCCCTCTCTCCATTTTCTCCAGATTCTTCCTCCGTAGCCACTCTCTGTATTTCTCCTCTGCTTTCTGTTCAATCTCCCTCTGCTTCTGCTGCTGCCTCTGCATCTCCTCCTGCTCCTTGCTCTCCTTCAGCAATTTCTCCTGCTTCTCCTGGAGATGACAAACAATCACACAAACATTACTTACCCCTTTAGGTGCAGAGATACCGTACGCATGAGAAATCATTCAAACTGCACGGTTCCTCTCTGGGACTTTGTTAATAACAGAGTCAAAAGAAGGGGGTTCGAAACCTGTTCTTTCTTCATCTGCAGCCACAAATGGATCTTCTCCTCCACTACCATCTTCTTCTTCTGCTGCTCTCTCTCCTGTTCCTCATTCCTCTCCCTCAGTAGGCGCTCCTATCAAATAACACTTGTCAGTCCCACAGTCATACTCAATTGCTTCATGTAGAGACATTTGCAACCCTAATTTACAGAAGGGAAAATATAAATATTAGAAAAACAACAACTAAATGATCACATTCTGACTCATACAAACAGGAGTTGCCAAACCGAAGAAGAAACAAAAAAGAGAAATGGCAGCGCACCTCCTCTGCTTTCTTTTCTATTCTGAGTCTCTCCTCTTTGGCTTTGCAGACCAGCCACCTCTCCCAGGCAGAAAGAGATGCCTCTGGATCCTCCGCCTCAGTTACTGCTGTCCTCTCTGGGGGCTTCTGTGGTGGATCATCTCTGAAACACACATGCTCAACTCTGAGCACAACATTGAGCACGACCCCTACAGTTAGGCCTACTAGAGCTAATTTTGTGTGTCCTTCATTCATATATTTAATTTAGTCTGTGGCACTTCCATTGAAACAGTCTAATCAAATGTGAGCTTCATCAACCCTTTTTAATTGCTTGTTGATGAGGGGACCCTAACTAAACAGCAAGTGGCGCTAACACAAATGTTGCTCCACTGTCTGCTGAATCCAGTTGGGTAACACTGCTCTTGTGCACCAACCATACCTGATGGGTGAGAGGGGTCTGGCGTCATCACTCTGTGTGGCTGAGGTGTCTATCTGATGTACGTGGTGAGCTGCAGCCAGGTCCTCATCACTCTCGTAGCTGTCATGGTAGATGGGGGAGAGCAGAGAGTAGGTGGAGTCGCCGGTTGAGTCATAGTCCACACTCTTGGATCGGTGCAGTTCCCTGCCGCTGTCCTGGTACGTCTTCAGAGGAGTCGAGCTGAAACTCTTGGAGGCGGAGGCAGGAAAGCTTGACATCTTTCCCCCTGTTATCATACAAACATGTGAATTAAGTTTAAAAACGAGCACAAGCCATTTTTTATTTTGTGGATACTAACACTGACGTATTGTGCAGTCACAAAGAAGGAATTGAGTCAGCGTTGAACAGCAGTACCTATCTAGCTATCTAGCGAGCATTATGATGAGCAAGCATTATGATGAACAAGCATTATGATAAACATGCACGGCTACTGAAGGTCTGACTCCAGACAACCAACGCAGAGCTGCGAAGACCCACCAGCTTGACCACACTTTACTAAAGTTATCGTGAACCAGTATCTGTGCGTTAGATACCTCTCTAACGCCCATGAAGCTCCGATTCTAACTCCTATTCACCAGTTCTGCAAGCGTCAGAATACGTTCGTTGATCTCCATATATGAAGTTTCGCTAAGCAACTATCTTCATTTACTCCCGTATCGCCCAGTATGTACTTCCAAAAAAGGTATAAATAAAAATGTACAAGTAACCGAAAAAAATGCCTCTTCGGCACCTCCAATGTACTGTATTGAGCTGTTGTAGACTTCTGACCTGTGCGTGGCAGTAAAGAGTGATTTACGTTGGAGGTGCCGAATAAGCTTTTTTCAGTTGCTTGTACATTTTGTATTTAGACCTTTTTGGGAAGTACATACCGGCCGTAACGGGACTAAATGACGATAGTTGCAAAGCGAAACTCGATATTTCGTGATCAACGAACGTATTTTGACATTATAACGCTTGCACAGGTGGTGAATGGGAGTTTGAATCGGAGCTTTCTGGGCGTTAGATACTGGTTCGAAGTTATCCTAGCTATTTGCAAGACCGAGCAGCCCTAGCAAGCCTAGCAGACTGTTATTGCAGCTCAGATCAATTACGTTAAAAGGCCAAGACAGCTAGCTAATCCTCTGGCAATAGCCTCCCTTGGCACTAGCTAGCTAACGCGTTACGTAGCACTGTATGAAGTAGCTGTTAGACAGCAAATTAGCTAGTTACTAGCTTGTTTGTTAGCTAGCTAACGTTAGATTCTCATGCAATTTTCTGCTTTGCTTATTATTAGCAATTCAATAAACATTTAGCTTATATTAATATTTTTACCTAGGTCTTCACGCACCTCTTTCCTTCTGTTTACTTGGTTGTGATTGCAAACAACTTTATTTTCCCATGATACACCACACATCTCTCGCCAATCACCAACCGAACGCGACGCTCCTAGTAGACGCTGGGCGGTAACCATGGCGACATCATGGAGAAGAGGGTAGTCACGGTCATGGCTAAATTAGATCCAGTTTTTGTCAAATTAATGTCAGATTTGACTTTTCGTAGTAGGTCAAGAGAATTTACGCAGCAGGTTAGGATTAACGTAGCATGTTAGGATAATTAGGTTAAGGTTAAGAAAAGGGTTAGGGTTATCTAAAATGCAAAAAATATATAATTTTAATGTTAATTTGACAAAAGCTGGATCCCTTCTAGCCGTGACCGTTCATAACTATATAGTTAAATTCAAAGGGGCTTTATTGGTATGGGAAATATATTTACATTGCAAAAGCAAGTGAAATAAACAAGAAACAAAAAACAACATAAACAAAATAACAATTATAAATTAACAGTAAACATTGCACTCAAAAAGGTTTCAAAAAAGTAAAGACATTTCAATTGTTATATTATCAGCTATAGTGTTTTTAACAATGTGCAAATAGTTGTAGTAGGAATAGTAGGGGAAGATAAGTAAACAGATACATATTGGTTGTATTTACAATGTTGTTTGTGCTCCACTGGTTGCCCTGTTTTCATGGCAACGGGTCACTGACAAATGTGATTGCATATTGCGATATTTCGCCTAACAGATATGGGAGTTTATCAATTTTTGATTTGTTTTCAAATTCTTTGTGAGTCTGTGTGATCTGTGAGAAATATGTGTCTCTAATATTGTCATACCTTTGGCAGGAGGTAAGGAAGTGCAGCTCAGTTTCCACCTCATTTTGTGGGCAGTGGGCACATAGCCTTTCTTCTCTTGAGAGCCAGGTCTGCCTATGGCAGCCTCTCTCAATAGCAAGGCTATGCTTACTGAGTCTGTACATAGTCAAGGATTTTCTTAATTTTGGGTCTGTCACAGTGGTCAGGTATTCTGCTACGTGTATTCTCTGTTTAGGGACAGATAGCATTCCAGTTTGCTCTGTTTTTTGGTTGATTCTTTCCAGTGTGTCAAATAGTTTTAGTTTTCTCATAATTTGGTTGGGTGTAATTGTGTTGCTGTCCTGGGGTTCTGTGGGGTCTGTTTGTGTTTGTGAAAAGAGCCCCAGAACCAACGCCACAAAGTCCTAATTATGGCTTTTATTAAAACAAATCTAAATGGGACCCTTAGGACTCCCAAACTCTGACATTACCCAATTGAAGTTGAAATTTAAAACGGTTAAGGTTAGGGTGAAGGTTAGGGTAAGGGTAGGGGTTAAGGTTAGGGTTAGGGTTTAGTGTAGGGACGGACATCCCAAGGATCCCGGATAGATCCTTAATTAATAAATAAAACCTTAAACCTAACCACACTGCTAACCTTATGCCTAACCCTAACGTTCAAGCAAACAATTTTTTTATGTTTATGATATAGCCAATTTTGACTTTGTGGCTGTGGTAACTAGTGACAAGAGGAGAGACATTAAAAAGTTGATGGAGAAAGACAGAATTAGGAATTAGAATACTAGAATGGACATTTTTTATTCTTTTTTTATTTGACCTTTATTTAACTAGGCAAGTCAGTTAAGAACAAATTCTTACAATGACGGCCTACACCGGCCAAACCCGGACGACGCTGGGCCAATTGTGTGCTGCCCTATGGGACTCCCAATCACGGCCGGTTGTGATACAGCCTGGAATCGAACCAGGGGGTCTGTAGCGTATAAAGGTCAGCCATTTTGGTCAGGGAGTTGGTCAACCATAAATTTGCCAGTGCTGTGATAAGATACATAAAATCAAAGTTTATTGGTTGCGTACACAGATTTGCAAATGTTATCACAGGTGCAGCAAAATGCTTATGTTTCTAGCTCCAACAGTGCAGTAATATCTAGCAATACAATAACAATACACACATAATCCAACAACAACAACAAAAAGTGTTAAATCAACACTGACAGTGTTAAATTTAACACTGGGCCAGTGTCTTTACAAGTTCACAATTTTGAGTGTTAAATTAACACTATGCTTAGTACACTTTGCAAGTGGTAGGGAATTAACACTTTTAGTGTTATCCAATAACATCTCATATAGTATTTATAACACTAGGAAAAAATACTAAGCCACACCTCCAATAATTTCCCAGTGTGCCTTGCCTTTTCAAGTGAATTATAGTTACAGCCCATGACTGTATTTGTTAGTGACAGAGACATGATTGTTGAAAATCATTCACTTTCAATCCAGTGGACTTCACAAAGTGAGTTCCTACTGTAGGCCAATATTTTCATTATCAAATTGTTTATGAAATTACATATCATAAGACCTTACTTTGATGGCCAAGTTTTACCCTAACATAGCTGTGTTAGGAAGTTCCTGGTTTACAGGGCACACCAGGCCTGCAAATCACATTATGCTGGTTTACAAAATGATGGGTTATACCAACTGGAAACCAGCCAGGACATCCAACAGTTAGAATTTTTTATCACCCACAACCTGCATTCAGAAAGACTATCAGGGTTTGAAATATGAATAATAATAATAATATGCCATTTAGCAGACGCTTTTATCCAAAGCGACTTACAGTCATGCGTGCATACATTTTCTAATGTATGGAGTCTATCTTAACCATTTAAATTGGAACAACCATTTCAGTAACGGGTGCAATAAAGCTAACTAACTGGATTCGTTTAGAAAATGTATGTTATTTATCTTTGTGTAGCATAAGATGGATCATTCAATCAATGTACATGCAAAAACACAGATATTAAAAACAATCCTAAAAAAATCTACCTGCAGTAGAGCATGCTGGGAAATATGATAATGATAAGCGTGGTTTTGATGGGAAGGTTTTATTTTCCACAGAGTAGAACTGACACAATCAGACTCTCTCACTCAACACTGGTTATAAACACCAACACTGGGGTTCTTTTACACCACTGAATGTTAATTTCACTCTTAGTTAGTTTAACTCCAAAATAAACACTAGAAATGTTACACTGAAAAATCAACACTTGGTAACACTGGCCAATTTGCAGTGTGTGCATTCCTTTATAATCACGGACACGCCAGGTACTAATTTCATAACCTTTATTGTGTTATACTCAATTTTGCTTATGTAGCTACATCATTCTATTAGTTCTGTAAAACAACACTAATGGTGTCAGAGAAGTATTAGCTTGTGTGTTGTAGCCCGGTGTAGCTCAGTTGGTAGAGCATTGTGCTTGCAATGCCAGGGTTGTGGGTTCGTTTCCCACGGGGGGCCAGTATGAAAAATGTATGCAGTTGCTCTGGATAAGAGCGTCTGCTAAATGACTAAAATGTCAATGTAATGTATCCTTCGAAGCTGCCCTGGCCTTATCTTGACCATTGGCATGTGTATTCATTTGGCCTGTTTAGCATAGCTCTGCCCTGCCCCCTTGTGGAGCTCTTCAGTTACTGTTGTTATTATTATGTTACTTCATTGAAATATTGTTTTATTGCTATATCCTGATATTGTATTCTAATTACTAATAATTTATCTTTATTCAGGACTTGAAGAAACCACACACAAAAACAGTATTGAACATTATTTGCCAACATCATTACTGGAACTTGACATCTATCTTGACAAAGATTGAGGCCATCTTTTGTATGCTAGCAACATACTGTTGGATAAGGAGAGGGGAGGATGAGGGAATGGAAAGTATGATGAGGTCGTAGGGAGGTGGGTGAGATATTGTCAATAAAATTGCATAATAGAACTGTATTTGATTTGTATGTGAACTGTATGTCCAATTACAAAACACCTTGTTCAGTAATCATCTCACTTGTTAGCTGGTGGTGAACTATGTGGCCATTGAGGACAGCATTGTCAATCAGCTGGGAAAATATCTTCTTATACCACTTGTTGGATAAGGCGGACATGTTTATCATGTCCGCCTTATCCACTGCCACCATTTTGTGATCATACACTGTAAAACCAAATAAGTTCCGGCTACTCAAACATTTTATGATGTCCGCCTTTATCCACTGCCCCATTTTATGATCATACACTGTAAAACCGGATAAGTTCCGGCTACTCAAACATTTTGAGGAAACCGATTACATAAAAAATTTAAGTTAAGAAACTTAAATAGCTGAATTTAGCAGTACTACCTTTATATGTGTACTACAACTGCATTTTTTAAAAAGGGAAACCTTACATTTAACACCCCACTAAGCCACACCTCCAATAATTTCCCAGTGAGCCTTGCCTTTTCGACTGAATTGTAGAGTTACCACCCATGACTGTATTTCTTAGTGACAGAGAGATGCTTGCTCATATTCAGTCGTTAGGCCATTACCAAGTGAGTTCCTAGGCAAATATTATCATTATAACTGAACCATTACATACAGTACCAGTCAAAAGTTAGGACACACCTACTCACACCAGGGTTTTTCTTTATTTTTACAATTATTTTACATTGCAGAATAATAGTGAAAACATCAAAACTATGGAATCATGTAGTAACCCAAAAAGTGTTAAACAAATCAAAATATATTTTAAATTTGAGATTCTTCAAAGTAGCCACCCTTTGCCTTGATGACAGCTTTGCACACTCTTGGTATTATCTCAACCAGCTTCATGAGGTAGTCACCTGTAATGAATTTCAATTAACAGGTGTGCCTTGTTAAAAGTTAATTTGTGGAATTTCTTTCCTTCTTAATGCGTTTGAGCCAATCAGTCGTGTTGTGACAAGTTAGGGTTGGTATACAGAAGATAGCCTTATTTGGTAAAAGACCAAGTCCATATTATGGCAAGAACAGCTCAAATAAGCAAAGAGAAACGACTGTCCATCATTACTTTAACACATGAAGGTCAGTCAATCCGGAAAATGGCACAACGGCCACTGGCCGCAAAAGGTATGGATTCTTTTAGGGTGCATTACGACCACAAAGGGGATGCCACCGTGAAATTCGAGGCATTATCAAATGCTTGTCAAAACTTTTAAAGTTTTGTCAAGTGCA